CCATAAAACATTTTCTCCCTCCCAATGTAGCAATCGCCCCCACCCTCTCTCTCATTTGATTGACGTTGCACTGACTCGTCCTGCTCTGACACTCTGATGGGGGAGGGGCTAGTAGTGCCTCTCAGGTAGCGGTTCGTGTTGACAAACTCAATAACAACAAGTCTGTATTTTGTTGTCCCATACATGTCAAACTCTTCGGACGTTTACCTGTAGAAAAAGCCGCAAAAAAATCCGTAAATTTTGCAAAAAATCCATACAACTCACACCCGCGGGGGTGTGGGGGACGTGAAAGCGCCCACTGCAAAGCAGGAGGAAAGGAGAGCGGAAAAAGTTCAAAACTTATTTCTACCAGCAGAACAGGTTGGAAGATGGCTATTTGTTATTTATTGGTTTTTAAATCATCCTACAGGCTCTGACATGTTAGATAAATTTGAAAATGAGGTTTTGAAAAAAATCCCTAAGACTTAAAAAAATCTGTGAGATTGCCCTAATACGTCCACATACCTGCAAAATGACATAAAATCCTTATAAATTACGGACAATCCGTACAAGTTGACATGAACGTTGTTATTTATTTGCTTTCTGGGAAAGCAAATAAATATAAGTTTACCGTAGTACCTTACACTGTCAAACTTGTTTTTAGGGGTTCAAATTGGGGTGGGTGGGACATAGTTCGGGGGTGCGCTTCAACTCGCCTAGGGCACCAAAATTGCTAGAGCCAGCACTGCAGTGAAAGGAAGAACAAGTTTAAACAGTAATCATTTCAACGAACAAACATGTCACTCAGTTCAGTTTGCACGTGAATGAGGAAAGGCCAAAGTATGGTTTAGTTCGCCATCATGAGAGCTTTTTTTTTTTTATTTAACTCCTCATTAAATGCTAAAAGTTTTATTCATCTGTAGGTTGTTTTAAGTAAAAAGAGGCGCAGGTAGTCTGAAAAGGAAATTCGTTCACAAATGATTCTTCTGCATCAGTGAAGTTTCTTTTTTTTCCCCTCCCACCTGTTTTCATGCTGAGCCCACTGGGCTTTAACAAGGCCCAGATACCAAACATGAACACAGCCTCCCTCTCAAGGTCAAGCTGCAGAAAGAACCGTTGTGTTGTTTGTTCTGTTTCATCCCATCGAGGCTGCTTCGAACAAGAGTATAAAAACATTGCTGTGTCACTGAAATGTGTTTGACATTTACAGCAGCCGGACGGATATAAGGTAAACCGACATGACCAGACCTGTTCTAAACTACTTTAATAAAACTGCTTCTTATAAACATTCAGTTCAGAAGTTTTGTGAGTTTTACATGAACTAAAATGTGCAGCGATGAAACAGGACAGGATTTTTACTGCTTCATGTTTGACATCCTGTAACAAAAACATTGAACATGCTGCCATCTTCTGGCTAAACTGTAAAACAATCAGTRTTTCATAAAAAGTCCAAAAATAATGTTGTGCACAAAATATATAAATCTTGATGTAAGTCAGGGACAGTTACATTTAGTCCAGGGTGACACTTAAAGGTTTTATGTTTCAGAATCCACCGTCTGAAAGTTTCTTGGATCTCTATGGTTCTGAAACAGTAGACAAATGGGTTTATCAATGGGGGGAAAAGCTGTAGAAAAGAATCGTGACCATCCGCCTGTCATGATCATTTGAAAATTAGGAATGTACGGTGCAGTGTAGACAAAAAAGTGAGGTAAGTAGTTGATAGAAATGATAAATCCCTGAGTGACACAAGTGGAAAAAGTCTTCTTTTTGCCCTGTAGAAGACAGCAAATTGATGTTATCTAATCATGAACAATAAAACAAATATTGACTTGTGTAATATGATTTATGACACCTTGTGTTTTAATTTGGCATTTGTACAAAATACTTCATTATGAACATTAAAAAAGACAACATTCACCTGTCCACTGACCATCTGCAGGACTGTAACTACAATGCAAAAGTAGGAGAAGATGAGGAAGCCTAAAGTAACATAAAGAATTATCATTGCTGATGTATAGGAGGCAGAGTACACATAGCTTGAGTCTCCACAAACTAAAGCAACTAAAGAACCAGTGTGACAGAAGGCCTGCAGGATTTGATTGGGGCCACAAAATGACATCTGGGTCATATAGCTGGAGCCAGAGCCAGGAAAGATGTGAGCCGTGACCCAACAGAGGACTGTAAGGACCGACATGGTTGGGATTGTCATCAGCATGGAGTATCTGAGGAGAGAAGAGTGAGAGGGAAAAGGACAGAGCAGTGATTCCTCTAAAGTTCCTGAAGGTAGACATAAATTATTTTGATGTTTTGTTTTTCCACCTGAGAGGAAAGCAGATGGCCAGGTATCGGTCCACAGCCATGGTCAGCAAAATCAGAGAGTTTAAACTGCCAAAACAATGGATCATGTGTCTTTGAAAGAGACAAGTGTAAACGCCAATGCTCCCATCATTCCACCAGTAACGAGCAATGGGCCTCATGCAAGAACATGTTCGTATTCTTATCCTAAATTTCTTACTTTTGTTCGTACGAAGGGTTCGTACGAACA